CTCATTGTGCTTCCGTTCGGGACACGTATTGCTATTAAGATATACAAGGAACATATTGAGACAAACCGCAGAGTTAAGAGTTAACAAAAATTTATCCACAGACACCTTCAACGTGTGTAAAAGATTTTTCAAGGAGCTGTATATCCATAATCTTTTTAAGAAAGATGTTTCAAAATGGCCCTAGAAGGAGAAAGTCGAGGAATTAAGATTAACGGAGTTCAATTAAACAATATAAGATATGCAGATGATCCAATCCTAGCACCAACTTTAGAAGATAGAGGACATGGGAAATCGTTTCAGTTTTAAAATCAACGCTGCCAAGGCCAAACTTATGGTAATAGGACGCCAGCCTATAATCAACACAGCATTGACGGTGGATGGAAATATTATAGAGCGAGTACCACGATTTAAATATCTAAGTGCAATGATCAATGAACGATGGTACTGCGATGAGGAAGTTAAACATAGAACGAATTATGCAAAATCAACATTTTTAAACTTCAAGAAACTTCTGTTAGCGCGATGTCACTTCTTGACTGCAGTGGTAAAATGCTATCCATATTTATCTTACTATACGAAACGATGCTTTCAAAGCTAGAACACTGAACCGCATCGAGGCTTTCGAGATGTGAACTCTCCGGAGACTCTCTTACGTATACAGGCGCACATGTACTTACCTAACAGAAGAGTTTAAGAACTGCAGTTTAGCGGGGAAAATCTTTAATATAAAGTTGAAAAGTTTCATATAAATATCATGAAGGGAGACAAATATTACATTCCTAAACTGATTCTACAAGGAAAAATAGAGGGACGACGAGGCCCAGGAAGAAAACAACATTCCTGGCTAAGAAACATACGGGATTGGTGTAACATCAGCGACGCAGCCACCATATTTCGAAGAGCCGAAAACGGCACTCTACATATTGTATGAAGAGTACAGACAATCGCCAACGTGCGGCTAAGCACAAGGCACATTAAGAAGAAGAAGACAGAGAGAGAATTTTGGTAAAAAACAAACATATCTCTACTTGCTTATTGTTGCTCTGAGGAAAAAACTTGTTTTTGGAATTATTGCTGGATGAAATTTAGTATATATCGTGCCTTGTAATTTGTTTACAATTTCCCTGTTAGTCATCAAAAGAAGCCCTAGCTCGTTCACACGGTAGTTGTTAGTGGTGGGATCATCCTCAGATTTTCGCCACTCTTTCAAATATACATGTTCAATAAGTTCGAGTAGGAAAACCGCAAACGTTACATAGAACTGGTTCAAAATGACAAATACTCGGTATAAAACAGGCCTTAATTATATGGCTAATCGAGTTTAAATCGTTTTACTTTTTAATGCTCCTATTGTATTATTAACTACTTTCAAAAACCTTCGGTTCGTTCAAGAGTGCTCTTATTGGATAATTTTTCCATTATTACAAGTAAGTGTCTGTAATTACAGTTATTGTATTTATGCTTGTATGGGGATGCATGATTATTTGTCTTTTTCTTTTTTAGCGTTAATTACATTAAGAATTTTAAACTTTTAAGCTTGTCAATAATTTTCTTTTTAATGTTTAATTATATATTAAATTTATTTTTGTTTTGGGGGGTGTGTTTTTCATTAATTTTAAACACAATTTTATAAAGCTACTTTATTTACGGTTTATTTTGGTCTGTAAATGATACGTTTTTGAAGTAACGAATAATAATTAAATCAGCTTACAAAGACAGTGAATTTAAAAATTATTAATTGATAATTATTGCCAACCCCCAACTGTAATGATCTTATTTAACTCGTATTAATTATGCACAAAAAAGGTCTACGTATACAGTATGTCCCCGGTTTGTCTTTACAAGGAGAAACTTTTCTTATTATTAACATTTTGAGAAAAATGCATACTTCAGAAAAATTTTTGCTTCATCTAAAATGGTTCATCCCGTCTACAAATTTCCATACCGTTCTAGAGAAAATAAAAAAAAAAGAATATGAAAATATTGTTGAATTTTTCCTAAAGTTCTAAAAATCAAAACGCGTCTCTATGGCAATATAATTTCGTTTTCATTCTTTCATAGATTGTTATTGATAGAATTTTAATTAACGTCATATTTTTTGCTGTCTTAAAATGTTAAATAAGCACAAAATTTGTTTAGTTCAATGCTAGGGATACAAATTTGATAATAGTTATACGAAAATGTGAGATTTTAACAATAGGAAAAAATATGACGTTAATCAAAATTAATAATAAAAATCAGTACATGTATATTATTTCGTATATTTTTCATTTTATTGATTTTATGGAAAGCGCTGTTCATTAAAATGTTGTATCCTATGTTATAGCGCTTGTTTCTCTCTACAATTTCCTGTTTCACAATGTACCGTTTGTGTCGGGGAAGGGATCATAGTTTCATAGTTGTCGATTTTAGAAAGAAATCAGTACATGTATTTTATTTCGTATATTTTTCATTTTATTGATTTTATGGAAAGCACTGTTCATTAAAATGTTGTATCCTATGTTATAGCGCTTGTTTCTCTCTACAAGTTCCTGTTTCACAATGTACCGTTTGTGTCGGGGAAGGGATCATATTTCATAGTTGTCGATTTTAGAATTTTTTTTAGAATTAGAGGAGCTTCCCCACCAACGACAAGGTCTTGCATCTCCTAGGGGAAGGTCGATTTTAGAAAGAAATCAGTCATTAGCGTAACTAGCAATTTGTCCTGGGGGGAGGCCTGGGGTTGAGCCCAGGGGGGCCTAGGGCTTTTGTTTTTTAAAAAATGAAGAATAATTTTAAAAAACACATTTTTGAATAAAACGTTTACATTAATTTCTATATCAATAAATTTCATGACTTGGTTATCAAACCGTGTTCCCGTAGATTACTTAAATACCTACAAATTTTCTAAAAAAAATAAAAATTAACACATTTTTTAAACACAACAAAATAATATTAACTAAACAAAACTAGAAAACATAATTTTTACTACATCACAAGCAAATAAAAATTAATACGTAGCCAAGAGTCATAATTCAAGATTTTTCTGGGGGGTGCCCAGCAGTAACTGGGGGGGCGGCACCCCCAGGCGCCTGTAGTTACGTCAATAATAACCATCTATCAAGGAATGAAATCAAATTATATTATCCTAAAAACGACTTTTTTGATTTTTAAGTTCCTTTGGACAATCCGAGGGACATAGTAGATATAGTAGAATTTTTATATTTATCTTTAACATATAGATACATCTTTAAAACATTTTTTTTTCCTTGAAAATAAAATATTTCAAAAAAATTTTGCATCTTTTTTGAAATTTTTTTCTACAATTTTTGTTTTCACAAAGACATCACACAAGACTGTTTTCACAATTCATATATAAATATTATTAAGAATAAAATAAAAATTATATACTTTATTTTATTCATATACAGGTGTTTCCATGTATAGGTACACTATATAAAACTAATTCAGAATAATAATTTTTCTGAGAAATAGTGAATCCCTATAATCAACTAGTTTAAAATTTTATGTTCTGTAAAAGTTATAATTCACACTTTAAATACCGTATGATCGAAAAAAAACGGCGTCAAATGGGGAATGAAGTTAATGGTGGTTTTGGCAAGGACAAACTCTTAGACGTCGTTTACTAAAAATTGACATAAAACTTGTCAAAAATAAACACCACTAATTATAGAAAGATTATAAAAGGATAGAACGTTTCCAGATGACAACAAATCTATTTCCAAAAAATTATTTTTTCTTGAATTTTTTAACTACACCACTTAAAAATCTCAATTTTTACTCAATATAAAAATAAATTACAACCTTCTTCCTCATTAAAAAAATAAAGAAGAGTACGGGCTAAGTAAATGACTTGTCTACAGCTTGACCTCGCCAAAATTATCATTGAATGTCATTCCCCAGCCGTCTTTGACGTCGTTTTTTTTCGATCGTATAGTAAATATGTAGTTTTGTTGTTATATTATTAAAAGTCTAAACCACAACAATCGTGAGTTTAATCTAGACATATAAAACAATATTTACTTGTAAGTTTATGAAATAACTACTATAATTAAATATAGTAAATTATTTAATATTTTACATCTTTATTTACATATGTCATTTATACCAGAGATAATATAAATACGGTAACGGATATATTTATTCAAGGAATCATAAAACAAGTAACAAAGTAATTACATAGGAAAATAAAATATTTAATGCGAAAGTTAAACAGATTGAAAACAAATCAAAATATCATCAATCAGTCTCTGCAAATATTTTCGGTTTTACCTTATATCTCAGACTTATTTGTTTGGGTATAGTCTGACTTTAATGTTTTTATTTTTGTTCGTTTTTAAATTCCCAAAATTTAGCGACCAAGAACCAAAACACTTCTTGAAAGTTTAAAAAAACAATTAAGGTATTTTTTTAAGAATATCCATTATACATATAGTTATTTAAAATCTTTGTCAAATGTAGTGGGTAGTGGGTATGATATAGAGGTATAAATATATGTACAAATGGTCTTGTATTGCAGTATTATTTAAAATGTTACGTTTATACAGTTTTCTTTTTCGTTATTGAGATTATTGAATGAATATTTATTTATTCTTTATAGTGTGATTTCATAGAGTTAAAAATTAAATGTGATTTAAATAAAAGTCTATACTCATCAGAGAGTGTATAGTGTATAGTGTTTTTCATGTCAACATTGTGAGTATTTTCTTGTTACTTTGTGATTTTTTGTTATTTGCAATTCTAAATACGTATAGCGTGCTATATGAAACAAAGATATTCATATTTCCGAAATATCTTTGTACACGTTTGTCTAAGACTTCAAAAAAATAATTTTTCACAAAACCAAGACACTTAAACCTTCAAAGGTGTATACCGGGTGACACTAAAAACATTTAGACGATCAAATCTATTTTTCCAAGGCTGCTTGACTAAAAATTAGTGTTTTAATACAGCCGTGGCACTCATATAGATTGAAATTTAAAATACAATTTTGTTTTAAGCAAAAATGTCAAAGGTTGACATATGATATGTCATTATATTCCGAGTGTCATTTTCTATTGAATAAAGTAAAAAAATACCGAGGGTGCCATTTCAAATTCAAAAGTTGCAGTGATTTCCGGTGACACAGGAAGTGACCGAAAACAATTGATTACGTCAAGCAATCCTAATTTATGTCACATACTAACATACCAAAAGTAGTTTTTTTATTTGAAAAAAATAAAAAGTTATAGGGGTGAGCCGCACTTTTGAGACGCAGCCAGTATATTCTGAATCTACATAAAATTTCCGAATTTCTGAATATTTTTGTAATTTTATAACGTAATTGTAACCCTAAAATTTTCGACACCCTGTACAATCAGAATTTTGTTTTACAGGTAATGTTTCGAACGATGTACTTCATATTTTTCCTAACCTGTTACTACCTGGGTACGACTTTGGGGCAACAACTAAAATCACCATGTCCTGACGTTTTTCAATATGAACAAAACCCTTCTGAACCAGACCGATGGTACGCTACTGTGACACTTAAAACCGATGCCGAATTGACTGGTGTATGGTTTAGAGTACTGCTAAATAAGCAAACTTTGCAGTTAGGGGTAAGTTTTTTTGTTATATACTTTTCTACAGGAAATATACAGATATAAATTTTATAGCTACATATTTTTCTAGAACTGGTTTGGTGAGGTGGAAACGAGAGATAATAATACAGGGTACCTCATAAAGAACCCAGGAGTGAAATTACAACCCAACGCACCGATGCAGCTTAGATTTTACGTTAGATACAACACTAACGAACCTCCCCCGTATATTTTAACGTTGAGACTCAATGCCAGACAGATATGTCCTGTAGGTGGTACCACTACACCTAGTCCGGTAGTTACCGGACAATTATTCACCAATAAGCCCGAGATACCGGACTCACTGTCGGGTGTATCTGGTGGTACCTCGTCTGGGATTAGTCCTACAGTGATGTAAGTACAACAGTTCTGTACAGTTTCTGAATATCAATTGGGACTGTTTTATTTGAAAAAATAACAGCTAAAATTAACAGGTTTCTGTAAAAAGTAACAACAGTAAGTTATGAGCTTGGTCGAATTATAATGGTGCATGTTACTTTCGCGCGTACCTATTATTTTTTAAAGGTTAACAACTACTGCCTTTTGAAATAACAGTAGGTAGTGAAATACCAGATCATTAAATAATTATAATTAATTAAGTAACCAACTGTCTCATTTTTATATTTTATAGGTAGTAAAGACTGAAGAATATTTTTGTATTGTTTTAGACAAAAACCGAGCCTTCCAATTGGTTCAGGCGATGATGACTTCTATCAAGGCGACTTTAGTTTAATATTAAAACCGCAAGGACCGTCGCCCGACCCGTTGACTACTGAATGTGGAACAGTTATCGTAAGTAACTGTTATTGTAACAAAATATATGATTTGATGCATAAAATTTGTTATTTGTTGAGTTCTAACTTCCAACAGTTATTTTAAATAACAATTACAACTGTTATTTTTAAATAACAGTCCCAACTGTTATTTTAAATAACAGTCCCAACTGTTACTTTAAGTAACAGTTGAATTTTACTAAATTCAATGAATTTTGTTGTTGACCAAGTCAGTGATATTTTTAAAAATAACAGTTGGAACTATTATTTAAAATAACAGTTCTATATATAGCTATAAGAATTTAAACAGTTTATTATTTTTCAGAAACAGCCACGACCTCTAATAACTCACGGACAGGAAACAACAGAAGGTGAATTTCCATGGCACGCTGCCATATACCATTCGAAGGGTATAGACCTGACGTATATTTGCGGTGCTTCCCTAATAAGCGACTATCATTTAATAACAGTAGCTCATTGCGTCACTAAAAGGAAAAGCCAGATGGCACTAAGTCCAAGCAACTTAGTGATATATTTAGGTAAAGCAGTGGTTTTAGAGTTATTGTAGGTGTCTTATTTATTATTTTATCGCTTTTTAGGAAAATACTATCTACGGGTATGGTCGAACCCAGGTATTCAATATAGAAAAGTAGAAAGTATAATAGTGCACCCGAAATTTAACCCTATGAGTTTTAGTAACGACATAGCTGTTCTGAAACTCAGCAAACGTGCTGAATTTACTGACTACGTCAGACCAATTTGTTTGTGGGAGGGGAATAATCAATTGGACCGTGTTGTTGACCATATCGGTGAGTTACTTTTTGTATAACAGTTGGAACTGCTATTCAAAAATAACAGTTGGAAGTGTTACTCTGATTTAACTAACGGCTTAAAATAACAGGTTTCTGTTAAATAATGAGTCCTTTCTCAGATGTGTTATTTATAAATAACAGCCGAAACTGTTATATGAAAGTAACTGTTGGAAGTGTTACTGTTATTTAACTAACAGCTTAAAATAACAGGTTCCTGTTAAACAATGAGTCCTTTCTCAGACGTGTTATTTTTACATATCAGCCGAAACTGTTATATGAAAATAACAGTTGGAAGTGTTACTGTTATTGGAATAACAGCTTAAAATAACAGGTTCCTGTTAAACAATGAGTCCTTTCTCAGACGCGTTATTTATAAATAACAGCCGAAACTGTTATTTGAAAGTAACAATTGGCACTGTTATTTACAACCGAGGTTAAAACTGTTATATTTTTTTATTATTTTCGTTAATTTATTTAATATATAAATTCTCTAACAAAGTAGAATTAAAGAACTGTTATTTTATAGGTACTGTAACAGGTTGGGGTTTCGACGAAACCGGTAAAGTAACTGAACAGTTGACAAAAGCGCATATGCCGATAGTGTCACAAGAAACGTGTATTTATTCCTTTCCGGAATTCTATTCAAGATTTACGAGCAGTACCACATTTTGTGCTGGGTTTAAGAATGGTAGGTTTATCATATTCATACGATTATTTTAGACATCTTTAGACTATAAACACACTTACTTATTTATCATAAGTAACAAAAACTATACCTCTTTATTTAAAATAGTACTAACTACACACTAGTAGCCAGTTTGTCTTAAAGCCTACCGCGGCGTTGCCGATACGTGAAAGTATTCCTAAAATCAAGAAATTTTTCATAACTAATAACTTATACAGTTATGGACCCCCATTTTAAATTTTTGATAATTACAGATTTTTCGAATATATTTTTAAGATAAATCTTTTTTGTAATAATAGTGCCTTTAGAAAAGATTTGTTTTCTTTATATCCCCCAGGTACTTCGGTATGTAACGGCGACTCTGGCGGAGGACTGATTCTACCCAAACCTGGATCAAATACGCAGAATACAGTATGGCAAATCAGAGGATTAGTGTCCATAAGTGTAGCTTTACAGAACAGGTTTCGATGTGATTCGTCTCATTACGTTGTGTTTACGGATGTTTCGAAGTATCTTGATTTTGTACAAAGTTCTTTAAAAATATAAGACTGCTTTTTTATTACTCTGTGTTAAAATTATTAGTATATAGATTACAATTTTTTTATATCATTTTAAAAATCAAAAGTATATTGTATTTTCTGTCATTTTTTATGGATATGTCATCTATGTCGAAATAGTTTTTTATTGTTAATCTAAGGAAATAGTATCTTAGTCTCTCGCTAGACTAACTTTAATACTATACTACGCTTGAAATAATGCAATTTTGTATTTTATCATTACACATACTTCAATAAGACTAATTCTTGGCCATATTAAATATTAATTAGTATTTTTATTAATATAGATAGATGAGTACTTTTAAAAATAATTAGTTATTTACAGCGGCGTGCGGTCCATGGAAGCGGGGGAAGCACCGCTTGCCTAAACTTTTTAAAGATAAAAAAATAAATAATTAAACGTTAATAATACTGTTATTTTATAACAAAAGATTAATTTAATTTGTTAAAATTATTTATTTGAAACCTTACATAAACGTATCTAGCAAATTTAATTAGCCTTTCACTGCATGGATGCGCGCCTGGGAATCGCCGCCGGTCGCCTATCCCTCCTTCATGTAGGTGTTATTGACCTCGAACGCAAACGACAAATTTAAGCCGGAAAATCTCGCACAGTTGCTAGCCACGGCAGCGATTTTTCGGCCGCCTTCCTTGACTTTTAATTTATCGGGACGGGTTCGCTTGTGATTTTATAGGTAATATAATAAATTAAATCCAAAATTTTATGATGATGTTATAGACAAATTTGCAATGGCTGATAGACGAATAGACCTCAAATACAAATAGGTGCCTATCGCGCGTCATGTGCTTCGGAAAATTAATTTAAAATATCGTATTTTAACTATATAACTTTATGTGTTTTTGTTTGTTTAACAATTTTCGATAGAATTTTAATGGAACAATGGAATTGGCCTCGGAATTTTCAAAGGTAAGTTTTTTAAGAAAATGTAAAAGTAATGTCTCGAAATAGGGTTTTTTACCGATTCGCTTCCCCGCCTATAATTGGCACCGCACGCCGCTGGTTATTAATTTTATATATAATTTGAAAAATCAACAAGTTAACTTGAACACTTAATTTGCAGTAATATACAGGGTGTTTCAAAACAAATGCGAAAAACTTCAGGGGGTGATTCCTTGTTCAAAATAAAGGGTAGTTTGCTTTATAAACGTTGGGTCAAAAGTCAACCATTAGGGAGATATCGCAGTACAAAGATGGCGGAAAAATAATGTTCTTATTTTTTATCTTGAAAACAAAAAGAGATAGACTAATGAAATTTTATGGAAGCATTACTGTTATGAAAACACACTTTCTGGTAATTTTTCACTTTTTAAAATGAGTGGAAGGGGTTGAAATAAACTACCCCCTCATCATTCTTGTTAACGAAATTTAAAGAAAAATCTTATCAAACACATGCAAAAAAAATTAATTTGGATAGTTTAGTTTGTTTAGAAACTTTTTTATCTCTTGTATTTTTTTATAAAACTCACCGATTTGAAATTAAAAAATAAAATGTAAAGCATTACATGTCAGAACTAAAAAATATTTAGATTAAGAATCTAGTGATAATAATGATAATAATAATAATCTAGATAATAACGTATTGCAGTAGGGTAATGTCAAATAAAATAATAGAAACATCCTAAAAAGTGACAGCGGCCGACTAGATTTTTTTCTAAAAAAATTACAGCTGCCCACTAGATTCTTTATCTAAAAAATGTTTTTTGTCCTGACATGTAATGCTTTACATTTTATTTTTTAATTTCAAATCGGTGAGTTTTATCAAAAAAACACAAGAGATAAAAAAGTTTCTAAATAAACTAAACTATCAAAATTAATTTTTTTTGCATGTGTTTGATAAGATTTTTCTTTAAATTTCATTAACAAGATTGATAGGGGTAGTTTATTTCAACCTCTTCCACTCATTTTAAAGAAGTGAAAAAATTACCAGAAAGTGTGTTTTCATAACAGTAATGCTTCCGTAAAATTTCATTAGTCTATCTCTTTTCGTTTTCAAGATAAAAAATAAAAACATTATTTTTCCGCCATCTTTGTACTGCGATATCTCCCTAATGGTTGACTTTTGACCCAACGTTTATAAAGCAAACTACCCTTTATTTTGAACAAGGAATCACCCCTGAAGTTTCTTATCCCATTTGTTTTGAAACACCCTGTATATTCCAGGGTTGTCGCATCCCAACGCCTATTATTATTAATTTGCTTTATAATAATTTTATTATATTTTATAATATTTATTATTTTATATTAATTTGTAACAAATAATATATAAAAATAACTTAAGATTATTTTTGTATTAAATGGGAATCTAAAAATATAATTGTTGCCTAGAAAAAGAGACTCACCCTGTAGTAAGTGTCTTAAAAGTATATTTGTGGAGTTATATAGATAATAGATGTAAATACAGTTAAAATTATTTTTATTTTTTATACACTTATAGAAACAATCTCGATTTAATATTAAAGTTTGCATTTTTGTATGGTTTATTTTTAAAATTTTTTAACATGTATATAGTTCAGATTACAGTTGAGGGTTGGAACCTTTAGGAACTTAGCATTATTAAGTACTATGTCACACACAATATACCAAAACACTTTTTTCTTTTAGGCTTTTAGTTATTGATGGTTAAATGTTAGCATCATCAGCAGATGATTATAAACCAAATTATTTTATTGGTTTATAATCATCTGCTGATGATGCTAACATGGTTAGCGAAACGCGCGTCCAGTGTAAAAGCAAAAGTGTTTGGTGTATTGTGGTGATTTAGTGTTTTTTATTTTGCTATATAGTTCAGGCTAATGTTAAGACAATAAATAATTATTTGCCTTAGTATTATTAAGTAGTTATGTGATATGAGTTTGATTATAAATGAATATTTGCATTTAATAAAGATTTTTTGAGATACCATTTGCTTTATTTTGTTACCATAATATCCATTTTTCTCTGCTAGCGCGTAAAGCACCGTTCACTGTTCACACCCCTTACGTCTTACCCGGACAGGTAAAACGTAACGTGTAGACAGAGCTTTAAATATAAACGACCATCACAAATTATATTTAGCCTAGTGTTGTTCAAAAATAAAAAAATATATCTATCCTTATTTTATAATAATTAGTCAGAATTTTATTTATCTAAAAACCAACCATAATAAAAAGACTTTTGAAATGAACTTAACTGTGATAAAAAATAAAATTATCTTAAAGGGATAAATAAAGATATTTGGGTACTGTATATTTTTTACTGTTACATATATTTTTATTTATTTATAATATACAAATTCTTAAACACTAAAATTTATAGGCAAAATAATAATTCTAAAACAAAATCATATTAGTATATATACATGACACACGCGTATATACTGATGGTTTCAGTCTCAAAAATATTTAAACACATTGTAATACCGTATGATCGAAAAAAAACAGCGTCCGATTGGCTTGAAATGAACATCGATGACATTCCCCCATAAAAGTTTACATATAAAAATGACAGCAATCATCGTTTCATAGCCATCGCCGACATCGTTTTTTTCGATCATACGGTATAATTTATTAGACAACAGGTTTGTGTACAGGGAGACCGAAAGTCAATAAACATACGCGATTACAATTTTAAAGTTGACACAAATAATACGTCCTTTTTTATAAATCTGAATCTCTTTGATAATAAAAATGAAATAAAAATTATTCTCTATGTTTTATCATAATAATAATCAATGTTTACAATAATTGTGGAAAGAAATTGGAGTATATATATATCTACATGCCTATAAAAAATCAATAAAATACTTAAATATTTCTCTAAGCCTACTTATCATAAATGTAAGGTTATGTTATATACAAAAGTAAAGCTATTGCAAAAGAAACTTTTGTATACTAGTGTAAATAACATCATGTTGCACCTTGTACCATATTTTTCAGAGTGTTATAATATTTTTTAACATTTTACAAGCTTGTTAATCTAATATGCGAAAATTCTTATAATTTATCACAATTTTTCTATATATTAATAGTATTTTTGAGTTAGATAAAATACTATTTAGGAGATTTTTAACTGTAAACTATTCTTTCTCTTGGACTATATATAAATAATAAATCTGCTTAGTAAGAATAGTAAAAATATATTGAGACATACATATAAATAAACATAATGCTCCTTTGTGTCCTAAATTCCTACATATACGGCAAATAAAAAAAAAACACAAATCGATAACTTAGATTCTTCGATCCTATATTCTTGCTTGGATATATTTAGCTTTAAAAAGGGTGTCTCCATCATCAAGACATGCAATTTTCATACCTTCTTTATTGCACTATGAAGAGTTCAATAGATTTATCCTTTCCCCGCACCTTTCTATGCATAAGAGCATTAAAATTTTGTACAAAATACTGTAAAATTTATTTGGAAACATTTACTAATTTTATATATTTTTTCCATTTGAATTAGAACATTTAATCCCTGTGTAGCAAGGCATATTATTGTATTAGTCTCAGTCAATAATTAAATAATAGTTATCATCGTTTTAATGTCTCAAACAAGTTCAATTTTATGAATGTTGAATAATCATAAAACTTATAACCTTATTTTCATTGTTTTATTTTGATTTTCAAGCTTTCATCACACTTTCATACTACAAAGGCTGCAAGTGTGTTCCAATTAGAAGTTAACTTTAAGTATTTATCAATTTTTAAATTTTGTATTCAAATTTGGCGCCTTGGACAATAGTTCTTGGCCTGAAGGATAGATAGAGTAGCAGTACTAAGCATGCAACAAAGAAAAAAAGATAACAGCACCTCCTTGATTATTTTAGAATCATTTTTTCCTAGTTATTTACCTATATCCACGCAAGTATATACGATCTAAGCTCACCTAAAACATTTTACTAGGTTATGTTCTCTAGCAAGAACAGGAATCCCCGCTGCCACTCGGTTTTTGTGTGTTTGTCAATTTTATCTGGTCTGGAAATTGGTATAAAGATCCACAGTGGAATTTTGCTGAGCCAGGGCATTTTGGCGATCGCCAGAAAAGCCTGTTCCACATTAGAACCGCTCTTGGCCGATGTCTCAAAGTATGGCATGTTGTTCTTGTTTTGGCACCATTGTTGTGCCCTTTTTTGCACTGATAGCCCTTGGTTCCAAGTCATCCTTATTGCCAAGCAGGACAAAGGGAAGTTTCTGGATCCCTAAGCTGAGGCTAAGCTTGGATAAGAAACTCGTCCTCCAACTGTCCAGAGACTTGAAGGTGCTTGGTGCAGTCACATCAAATACTAAAACAGTTTAATAAAAATATAAACCAAAACATTCTCATAAAAATTATATTCATAAATTAAAAATAAATGTGTAAGTTTCTTTGTAGTCTCAAAGTAAGTAGTACTTTTTTTATACCTAATATTTTATACTATGTAGTTCCTCTTAACACACACATTAAAATATACAATTTTTAAATAATAATCACATTTTTTCAGTTATATACAGATTTTTTCAGATTATATACCATAAAATAAGATAGACATAAATATATCTATCACTGTCAAAGATTTTCTGTTAGCCAGACATTACTATAGGTATGTTATTCTGTATTTTCTAAACAACTGATAAGTACAGACATAAACAAAATTTAATCTTCATTGGAACTTCAGCACTATATATAATATAAATATATAATATACTACACCTAAGACACAACAGTCTGCTCCCTCGATAAAAAGCTACACCCAAAGATTGAAACCTTTCCTGACCTGCAGTGTCCCATATTTGCATTG